TTCGAATTTTCACAAGAAATGAATGTGCTATTTCTCATGAAGTTTTAGATTTGGTCATTAAAGCTGGATCCATGTCATTCAATTCAAAGGAACAACACCCAGAATGAAAAATCACTTGTCCAAACTGAGCTGATATCTAACACACGTCATTCATGTGGGCTCTTGATATACACCGAAGAGAACAGGCTCTTTGAGGATATAATTCATCATCTTAAGGTAGATACCTTAAAAAATTCGAACAGATCATACTAGAAACAGTCATTTTCTTCCAGCGACTATAAAGACAATGTAGATTACTAGTTCAGATGTTAAAATCTACAGTGGAGGTTAATCACATCTTCATTGACTTAAATGGAGTCTAGAGCTTGAATGGACTAGAGCGTAACAAATGCCAACAAACAACTTGAGGCCAAGGGATGCAAGCACTTAATCTTATAAATGGGAATTTGAAACTTATAGCCTAAATAACTAAGATTCTTGATTGGGCAGGCATCTTTGCAGGAAACACTGAAATTCAGAAGCTGCTGCATACTGAGGTAAAAGAAAATATGACAAGGAAAAAAAAATCCTGCTGAAATTTTACCTTTCAAAGTGACTAAAATCAGAAGACTATGTAAGTGCTCTGAGTAATCAGAGTACAGAGAATAATGAATAGGGGGGAGTTTCAGGCATGCTAGTACTCTGAAGCTGAACTTCAGAGACAGATCGCCTACTTAAGATTTTAGCACACAGCATGTTCCAATGACTTTCTGACACTTCATCTATCTTACTGTGTGAACTGCTTCCAGCAGCAGATCTATCCTTCTAAAACTCCCACTTCTGCCTCTACTTGTCTTTCACTTCCCTCCCCATCTGAGGCATTCAAAACTCTCAAGAATATTTCAGGAGACAAAGGCCACCTGAGCAACCGAAAGACATTCTGGCTATCTGTATTTTAATATCAAAATACAGCATTATTGTGGATCAATGAATATCTGACCAGATTTTTTTTTTTAATCTCAACTCCACTATGCATATGAGAAACTTTTCTGGTGGTATCATGAAAAATATATATATATTATTTGTTGAACATTATAATGCATTATTACCACAAATCCTCATGTAAACTGCTTTTAAGAACAATAAAACAGCATTAGTAAAGAGAAAAATTTAAACAGGAAATTAGATGATAATCATAATCAACAATTTCTTGGAATATGGAGGTTTCCTTACATAATATGTACTCTAAGTAAACAATAACATTTTTTGTTTTTCTGGGGTGGAGGGTGGTCATATTTTGGGATCCCAGGAGTTGGAATCAGTGATCCTTGTGATGTATCCTATAGATTTTATCATAGCCTCTGTCTCTTAGTAGATTTCAGTATATAGCATGGCTTCCAATGTTAAAGGCTGTTTCTGGGAATAATGAGCTATTCCCCCCAAAAACTGACATAATGTTTCCTTAAAAAACAGTAAAAAAAATAAAAGTCATGCTTATGACTAGGATTTTCCATTGCACTTATTTCTATTATCTGAACTACAGATAGATTCTTCTGTTATAATCTGCATCCACAGAAGCTGGAACAGACCATCATAAATTTAAGCTTAACTGAAAAAACAGATAATTCAAGAAATTCAGAGTGTCCTCTGGCTTCTGCTGGCAAAGAAGAGATTTAATGACTACATTTCCACTGAACTGTCTCAACTTTTTCACTCGAATTTTCCTGGACAGATAGCAAAGATGAGCTGAGAACAGCAGTTTTAAAGTCATAAAATGTTACTTGTAAAGTGAATACTTGTACAATGCTTCTGTTCAATCAAACAGTTCATCTCACAGCAAAATACACTATATTTGAACACAAATTTCTTCTTACAAAATTAGGATAGAATCCAGAAATATTTCATTTTTCCTAACTTGCACACAAATAGTACTGTGCCATGATTCTGTTTTCTCAAATTGTTCCCACATTTCTGACACTGTAGTAGTTACTGCTAGAACATTTTTTGTTATGCATTTTTTTCAGACATGCTTAAGCAATGGGTTAAAAAGTGGGGGAATATTTCTGAACAACAGGGATATGATTAATTGAACAAATGGTACGAATTATGTTATGTCTGTCTTTAATCTAACCCAAAACACATGAGACACTTGTATACAGCAAAATCCTTAATACCTGCATCAGCCAAGAGAATTTGGATATATCTGAAGAATGAGGTTTTCCTTTTTGTAGACAAAATGAATATGCTTGTTTAGGCTACAAAGGTGAGAAAGAATTGAAAGAGGAAAGAGGAGATACATTCCTGGTGCCTGAGGAAAGAAACTCTGGCATAGCACTGTGCTGTATAGCCTGGGAAATTTTGAGTTTTGCTTCATATAACTAGGAATATACTTAATATGTTAGAAATCTATGACTGTTCAATTCATGTTTCTGAGCCTATACTGAAATGTCTTCAGTATAAGAAAAAATGACAAAATTCAAACATTCTTAATATATTATCATTATAATAACATGGATAATGAGACATTCTAAACAAGATTAAACCCTCAGTGCTATGTACAATTATATAGTCAAGATAGCATCTTATCCAGAGATCTTACTGCTTAATAGAAGAGTGTGAGAAAAGTAAGATTAAAGACCAGATTCATTTCAGGAAGTAGCATGAAGAACTAGCTTGTGTCACTAGTGCATGAGGAAGTGCTGCAAAGTGAAGCCTGAACAAGGTATTTTTGCATAGCCCCAAGTCATAGTGCCCTAGTCATAATCACAGAATTGAAGGGGTTGGAAGGGACCTCAAAAGATCATCAGGTCCAACCCCCCTCCCCCCCCCACCAAAGCAGGTTCCTTAGAGCAGGCTGCCCAGGTAGGGGTCCAGATGAGCCTTAAATATCTCCAGAGAAGGAGACTCCACAACCTCCCTGGGCAGCCTGTTCCAGTGCTCCATCACCCTCACCGTGAAGATGTTCTTTCGCATGTTGATGTGGAACTTCCTATACACTATCTTGTGACCATTACTCCTTGCCCTGTCCCCGCAAACCACTGAAAAGAGGTTGGCCAAATCCCTGTCTCCCACACCTCAGGTATTTATACACATTGATGAGATCCCCTCTCAGTCTTTTCTCCAGGCTGAACAGACCCAGGTCTCTCAGCCTTCCCTCATCAGGAAAATGCTCCAGGCCCCATATCATCTTTTTGGCCCTCCTCTGGACTCTTTCCAGGAGATTCCTGTCTCCCTTTTTGTACTTGTGAGCTCAGAACTAATACCACTCTTGAAACTAAATGCAGTTTAGGAATTGACCCGAGTTGTGAACAGTTAGACAATAGGGAAACACCACATGTACTTGTCCAACTCTTACTTTTCCCAGTGCAGACAAAGTAATGGGCTAGATGTACTTAATTCTTAAATTCAAACTAATACACAAAAACAATACTGGCTAATGCCATTTGAAGTGACCTGCTGGTTTCCCTGCAGACAGTGGACATAATGCAGGTTGACTGATAAAGATGTCCTCAATGCTCTTCCAGAACACAAGATAGTGATCCTGTAAAGTGTTGAATCTGGAAATGAGAACACTTGTGCAATATGTCCTGCTCCATATTTGTGAAGGACGCTAGAACAGCTAGTTGTGTAAACCAAGCTATAAATGTAATTTAAGATTTGCAGAGCAGAGGCAAAAGATGAGTTCTCATACTTTAAATAAATTTGATCAAATAGTGTCCTCTGCTTTGGAGCTACATTCTCTCATTAGTTAGCTCCTGATTCTTTTATTGTGATAAGCGTTTATGAAATTCTTAGCAAAAATTTCCTTAGAAGAGGCCTGCCACAATGCTGTCACTAGCTGTAAGAGCTCTAAGCATAACAAGAGCAATGCAAAAAGGTTACAGATCTCACAAAATGGACTTAGCAATCCTGCCCGAGTGCCCAGCTCATACCCTCCTGCCTGTTCTTACTATCACCGCTGCCCTTTGGTCAGGAAGAAGCAGGGACCCTGAATGATCCAAGGAGCCTGTAATGAGTGAAGATGTATGGGTGTAAGTTACCCTTTATAGTAAGGACATTGGGAATTCAAGCAATGTCAAGATTACATCTGGACATTGATTACATCTAGACATTGATGCCATGCCCTACAGCTACATAGACAATTTAAAGAAACATAAGTAGCAGGCCATTGCACAGTAACCATTCATTTCACAAAAAAAAAAAAAAATAAAAATTTCTATTTAAATAACACAAATGAACTGACATGTGCAGAGGAACTGAAGTTAAAATAGAGGGAAATATGTTGCTTAAAACAAAATTAATATCTTTCTGAAACTTCTAGTGAAACTTGAACTGTGTTAATTGTCACCAAACAAAGTTTTATTTATCCTCTAACATTTTTAGAAGCCAGAATATTTTAAGTGACAGAAGTAAATTTACTTCTGTAAATTTTACTTAAAAGTAAAAAAAAGATTTAAAGTAAAATATTGTATCATCATTGAAATAATACACGTTTACAATGCACCTGACTACTAATAGCTATGCATGCTGCTGAAGATAATTATATTAAAATACATCCAAACATATTTAAATAATTCATTTCAATACCTTACATAAGAGGAAACATTCTCTTGGTGTAAAATGATGAAAGGTATCTTGAATATAACTATTCAACGTTTGTTTTTTTTATATCTGCATTCCATACAGAAACAACGAAAGCAGAATGATTTTTTTTCCCTCAAAAATCACCGACTCTATTCTACTACCTAGAATAATTCTTTCAGATAAATTTTCCTCTAACTCAGTCATAGTTGTGTAAACACCACTCAAAAATAGTTCACTTAAATTTATATGCAGCCACATAAAATTCACTGTACATTGGACTAGACTGGTACAACAACGCCATTTGATCTGCAGCATATATTTAATATACAGACAGCTTTGTCCCATTCCCTAAGAATAAAAGGGGTTGTAAGTTCACCTGACTTCTAATCAAATTTTTTTAAAAAACAGTATTTCTTCTCCTTTCAAAATGTTCTTACCTCTTCCTTTGTCTTTTTTGATATGACTCTTAGCCAGTCTCCGATCATGCTGAGGACAGCTGCAAAGTAAGCAAGCCCAACAAGGATCCAGAACCACACCACTGGCTTATAAAAATCTAGGTACTCAATATCTGATCCCCCTGAAAAACAATGAAGTTAAGAATAAAGCACACTTAATTGTTATAGGTGCAAAAGTATTTTAAAATTAATTATTTTTCTAAAAATAAAAAATAAAAAGAGATCAGCAGTAGTATGCGAATGTACACAATATTTCCTAATCTTTCACAATATTTAAAATGAACACTGACAAACTGATTCAGCTTTTGAGATACCATCACTTAAGGTGGAGGACACTTAAGGTCATTGAGGACAGCTTGAATGAAAGGATTTCCCACTTGCTGCAAACAGACATGCAGTACAAAATTAAGTGTTGTTCTGGAGTATGTTCTTATGCTGAGAAATCTGGCTTTGCAAAGACTTAGAAGCACATCTCAATTACATGAATCCTTTAACCCTAGTAGAGAAGAATACCTGCATTACCAAATGTCCCTGTTGGGCAGTCAAACATTGCCATCTCCTTTTTACTGAAGAGGAAACCAGGCTACAGGGACTTGAGTTGAGCTGATCATACTCAAAAAAATAAAAAAAGTAAGAGGATAAAATATCTGGCAGTTGGAGGCAACTTTTTTTTTTTTTTTTGAATCCCACTGCCATAAGAACCAGACACTTTCTTCTTTCCAAGTGTTGAAGTAAAAAAGGATAAATTTCAGAGATGTCTGTAATGGAACTTTTAGGTCCAATACAACTACAAAGAACAGATGCTTTATTCTACCCTCCACTCTCTCCCAAAATAAAAATAAAAAAATAAAATGAAGTTATGTTTATCCAGAGTTCTCAGACAACACAAAGTAACTCATATTTCACATATTGCAGTACAATAACACAAGTCTTAAACTTGCAGATCAGCTATACTATGACAAATAAAATAATACTCTTCATCTGAGTTGCTGAAAACAGAAATTTGCATATCTGCTTACTGAAACAGCCAAATGAAAATGCTCTTTACACCCTTTCATGAAGAGCAGCGTTCTTCCTAGCTCTTGTTATCTAATCACCATACAGATTATATGCAAACAAAGAATTTTACTGACTAGTATCTTAGTGTGGGATTCCTCATAGATGGAAATTTTTTCTCATGTCAATAAGCCCTTTCATAAATAAAATTTGTTGAGCTGTAGTGGTTTATTCAACTGCCTAAGAGATGAAATCCATACTGCAAAAATGAATACTTCTACACTTGTACAGTCACAAATACAGTACAAGACAGGGCTTTATCAGAACAGAACAGAAGACAGCCATTCACTCAAAAGGCTGAGTTTGTCACACCCCAAGATAAGCAAAATATCAGAAAAAGAAATATGTTAACATCCACCTTGCGTCAATGCAGTAAAACAGGATTTACAGATGACTTGTCCTGCTGTCATTCAAAAAAGTTGTTGATTACCACCATGTCTTAGCTCTATCAGGAGTAAGCAACGAACCACACTCCTTGGTTCACATTCTTTGTATGTTCATACAATGCACAAAGACATACAATGTAAGGTATCCACTCGCCAGATTTCTAATTTCCAGTGTGTGAAGTTTATAAGTGGGAACTGGAACCCAAATATATCCGTCTGCAGGCAGCACTTCCTTCATCATGCATATGTAATTTGTTTACAGCAAGGTTAATTACCAGATCAGGTCTTCAATTAAGAGTTTTCTCTGCTGTCTGGCCAGGAGATGGCTCCATCTAGCCATGCCCAAATGAGTTCAGCTTTCCCAAAGTTTGCAAGGGACCCTCTAGAAAGGTTTGACAGCTGAAGTCTTCATCAGCTCTTGAATCTATGAATTTCAGGGACTCCTGGTGAGGTCTCAATTTAATGGAAGACCAGGGAGAAAGATATACCTAAGGATATTCATCCTGAGATAAGTATTGTCTTCTGTAACTATTGGAGGAATTCAGCAGAAATGTTCAAGTGTCATAGAGTAACACAATATCATAGGTAGGAAAACAAAATCAAAATCAACTGTACTGAGTTCAAAGTAAATGAAATTCATTAACTACTGAATTGCAATTTACATAAATGTGTACAAATATATTTGTGTATGTATATGTACACATAAATATATTTGTACTGAAGTGTGAGATAATCTAATGAATTTACCAGTAACACTGTAAAAAGCATATCAACATGATAGATTTGCATGAATTTTTCATAGCACCACTTTTAGTAATGCTATCGTCTGTCTTTTGCAAAGCAGATTTTACATAACGCCTTAGGAAGCAAAATGCTGAGAAGCAAGTTGAATTTCAGTGTTTGGCAAAATTTGTTTTGTGGGCCAAGGGACAAAACTTTTGTCCGACTTTGTTTGGACTTTACCAGAAATAGCTTTAAACAAACAAAAGATATATATCTACTTTCCCAGAGATTTGGTCAACTGGTGTGCACCAGCTCTAACTAGAATTTTCACTGCCTTTATCTTTACAAAGAGCAGCCTCAGTTTATTGCTGAGATGTTTTGTGGTACAGATTTGATTCCAAACTCCCTAGAAATCAACAAAAAAAATCAAAGAGCTTTCTCATTCATCTTCATCAGAGATTTTGCATTGCTGCTACCACCATTCTTACATCTGTCAAACAACTTTTAAATGATTTAGGATTTTTCATGGAAGACAGATTGTTTTTTTTATGGCCCAAGTACCTTTCCTTTCTGAGGTAAGAAGTTTTATGTTTTAGTGAAGGATAGCATTCAAGAAGATTTCAGACATACATGTACATTAGGACGGATTCTGTTTATAGGGTACATGATTGGGCTTAAATTTATGCATATGTATATATATATATTTACATAAAACAATTACATAAATTAAGTAAACAGTATTTTCTATCGTTGCCACTCTTTTCTCTATCCTTTCATAGCTGACACAAACACAGAATTCTAGATTTAGAGACTTTAGAATAATTATCTCTAAAGTATCTTTTTGTTCGCGTTTTTGCTTCAAAACTATAAGAATATAAAGAATGAAAAAACTGATGTTGAGTATCTTAATTCCATGTTAGCATAAACTTGTGTTATTCCAAAACTAGCCCTTCGGACCAGGAATGGACTTTATTATTTTTCAACGGTACACATTCTGAGCATAAAAAAAGTGATTAAATTTAAGCACAACTTAAATCAAAGTTTAACAAGTAGCCATCCCTCAATCAGTAGCTTGTCCATCAGTCATGACAAACCTGGCACCATGGGCAACTGGCATAATCCAGAAACTTCATTTGTTCCATTCCAAAGAAACATGGAGGTTTGGCCCTGTACCTTGAAAGGAATTACCTCGAAGAACTGCAAAAAGGGACAGAGTAAGGCTAGCTTATGCAGAGACCTGAAGAAGCGGCATGCTGGGGACAAGACAACATTTGCACCATCTGCAAGAAAGAATATAATGTTGGCTATACAAGTTACTTGATACCACTCAGTGGAAAATGGAGAGCTACTTCAGAATACAGGGCACAGCTATAAAACACCCTTTCCACACTGTCCTGTACAGAAATTGAGTGAAACACTGCATGTTGACTTAAGCTTAAAACAGCCTACATGGTTCACACTATATAGCCCTTATAGCAGATATGAACTCCTGAGGTGACAAAGAGCACTTCTGAATGCCAAAAAAGACAATGCCAGCAAGAGAGAGCACAGATCAATAGGACTGCTATGACCAGAAGGTAAGGTGTTTCAGTTCAGTGATGTTAAATGAGACTAAAATTCTGAAAGTATTCTACAAATTAGCTGTCCCTCCAAGTAATTCAGTGCAGACCCAGATATATGTTAAAATGGCAATAAACCTAATTCAATTACAGCCCAAAACAGTAAAGAAGTGATAAGCTAAAAATCACAGATCAACAAAAAAAAAATAAAAATAAAAAGAATGCCTTAGAAAACATTTTAAAATTGAAGACTCACAAAAGTCTGTGATTATTTAAACTGGACTGATTGCAGCATAACCTTATTCATTATGCTAGTGAAACAGACTACTGACGTGCTATTAATATTTCTGACCCTCACATAATTCTGTCAAGTTTGGGCATCTGATTACTTTATATTTGATAGCTGCTAAACTATCTCCTCCAGAAATATTTAAGAATTTATCTGCACATATGACCAATGCATTGTCATGTTACATATATTTTGACCTCATTGCTAACATTGGTAGACAACATTATCTTTCATTATACTAAAAAATAACGTAAGAAGTCCTCTTACTTTCCTCTTTTTGAATATTTATAATAATAGCTTGATTGCTTTTTATGTAGTATTATTCATGGTCTCCCCTGAAAACAAGATAAGCTATGTTTGAATCAGTATGGCATGATTTTCAAGAGACAGTTTCTTACTTCCTTTGTGTGTATTTGTGTGTGTGAAAAGCTACAATGGTAGACTTTCTTCAGTTATTAAAAAAAAAAATATTAAAGAAAGGATAGAAAGACATTAAAAATTCAATTTCCCCATCAACAAAAAATCAACCCCACCTTCCACCCCCACCCCCAATTAAAAAGAAAAAAATCTGGTTTTTGTTGTTGTTATTTTTTTTTTTTTGGAATACTATCCATGTATTTTCTTGAACATGCAATACAAAAACTGTTCACCTTTTCTCTCCTTGCACATGCCCTGAATGATCAGCCTTTTACATCTACCTTAGGACTTCTCTTGCTAGTTGAAACTGAAGCTAAAATTTCCATAGGGTCCAAATGGCAACTTAGATTCTCAATACAAAAGGGGATGTTTTGGCTTTGTGGCTCCTGGGAACTGAATGCTTGTTCTCCAGTAAAAATGAGAAGACTCTTGTAGAAAAAATCTGGAGAACTGTACAAGAATTTATATTGTAAGAGCCAGCCCTACAACCTTTAATACCATTACAATCCATAATCCATGTTCTCCTGTTGGTTCCCTTCTGGTACAGCTATTGGGAAACACTCTCCTTTACTTCTTAAAAAATTTCTCCAAGGCTTCTCTTTGGCTTTCAAATCCAGTGGTGCCAGGCAGCAGCCAATTCCATGTTAGTGAAAAGAGAAATACTGTGAGAAATATTTCTCTTAACCCATTATCGCAGCCATGACATTACTATCCAGGACTTTCAGACTTGTTTTTTCCTCTGGGATGACAGTTCCCAGAAAGATAAGATAATTACCAGAATATTTGGAAATTCTCAAATAGGAATTTTGTTTTGTTTGAGGGAACTTTATGAAACAAAAATTATTATAATACATAATTATCATACATAATTATGAAATATCCCATGGAGCTCCAATCTGCTACAAGAATTGCCTTTATTGTTGTTGTTCTAGAAGTACACTCCATTATAATTGCAAACTGAAATGACACTCTGCTTTAGTTTTGACTATTCTTCTGAGTGGTAGAAGGCAATTTACACTCCAAATATTATTTAAGAAACATGCCTTCCCAGACAAAAAAAAAAAATCAGAAAAAAAAAAGGACTAAGTTAATGTCAACGTTTTGTTTTGTTTTTTTCCTCTTCAAGTGGCTGCTCACCTAAGCACTTATAAGTGGACTGCAGTAGCTTTCTGCCTGATGCACGACTCACTGTGACAAACCAAAACCAAGAAATGGTTTTGCTCTAGATCCACAACAATATCAGATGCTTCTGCCAGATGAAATACTTATGTTCCATCATGACAACCTCCCCTACAGCCATTTACACCAATACATGCCTTATCCCTACTTGCTTCATCTTATTTTCTGGCACTCAGCTTTTCTAAACTTCTGTGTTAGAGTGTTCTAGTTAAGGTCCACAACAAAACGCCAATGGTATTTAATGCCTACAATGTGGTTATGGCTTACCTAAAAACAAACAAACAAACCACCACAATGAAACAAAGAAATCATGAAGACAGCTTACTAATTTGGTAGCTTGCAAAATATTCTGCACGCTTTCTCAAAATTAATAAGAAAACATTTGTCTTAAGGGCTAAGTTATCAGCTTGATTTAAAATTTGCAGTGTGAATTTTCCTTTTAAAATAGTTGTATTTATATATTTTTATTTATATATTTATATTTATATATTTATAATAGTTGTATATAGTTTCCTTTTAAAATAGTATGATGGAATTTATTCCTTATATCTAATCTAAGTCTACCCTCTTTTACTTTAAAAGTATTAGCCTTTGTCCTATCACTACATATTCCCTCATAAAGAGGCTCCCTATCTTTTCCACAGACCCCCTTTAGGTACTGGAAGACCACCATAAGGTTTCTATGGAGCCTATTCTTTTGTAGACTATCAAAACCAACTATCTCAGCCTGTCATAGGAGAGGTGCTCCAGCCCTCTGATCTTCCTCATGACCCTTCTCTGGACTCGGTCCAGCAGGCCCCTATCCTTCTTATTCTGGGGGCCCCAGAGCTGAATGCTCTACTCCAGGTGAGGAGTAGAGGGGGAGAATCACTTCCCCTGGCCTGCTGGCCATGCTTCTTTTGATGCACCCCAAGATATGGCTGGCTTTCTGCAAGTGCACATTGCCAGCTCATGTTGAGTTTTTCATCCACCAACACCTCCTTGCGTTTGCTCTCAACCCACTCATCTCCCAGCCTGTATTCATGCTTGGGGTCTCCCTGATCCATGTGCAGGACCTTGTACTCAGCCTTGTTGAACTTCATGAGGTTCATCTCTCAAGCCTGTCAAGGTTCTTCTGGATGGCATCCCTTCTCTCCTGCATGTCAACTGCAGGAGTCAGTCATCTAGTCATCTGCTGTCAACTGAGTATGTTAGTCCACACAAAGAAGATAACAATGAAGCTTATTGTTTTTTTTGCCAGAGATGAAGTTGACAATCTAGAGGCCACATTAAACTCACAGTGATGATGGAGATGGTCTAAACCGCTTTGCTTAAGCTTTCACTGCAAGTATGAGTCCAATTCCTACACACTGAAACTCAAAGGCAATAGCATATTACAGAATGAATGAGTGTCTTGCATATTGCTCTAAAAGTAAATAGAAAATATTCACAGCATTTTGATATCACCATTAAAGCAGAACTTACAAATATGCAAAAAGACCATAAAAGGCCACAAGGTATAGATCAACATAACTCAAGAACATTCTGTAGAAAGGGAACGTGTTTCCTGGTAAAATTAAAAACCAGACATCATGTAGGAACAAATTACAATATCAAGTGGTCTACAAATAGAAAATCTGCAGAAATTTTATAATGAGAGTAATGATGAATGTACTCTGTGTTCCAGTTAGAGTAAAGTGGGCCATTTCACATGGTTTCTTACAGTAAATATAACCAGGCATTTATACATTATTATTTTTATTCCCTGCTACACACGTACACCAAAGGAAAGAAAGTCTAAAGCACCCATACTCTTGGCTTTGAAATAGCATAATTTTTTGATTTGGTGCTGGTCAGAATCTGTTCAGAACCACAAATTCTTGAAGACAAAATCAAAATAAGAACAATCTGGCTGAGGAAAGCAAGTCTTGGACTCATAGCATGAAACTGAATTTGTAATCCTAACCTCACCAGCTCACTGGTTCAACACACCTTCTCAATACAGACAGCATATATTTTGTCCTACTCGGAGATCTTACACCTTTTAAAGAAATAAAAAATGGTGTAGATAATAAAGCTTATTTTTATTTCTCAAATTGAGCTTGTCTAATTTATTTTTAACTAATCCAGTCTAGATTAATAGAACCAGGTGTTGGTCATGTTATCTATACGCTGTGCTACAACTTCTTATTCTGTAAAACACACATGGGCAAATGCATACAGAGCAAACAAAGAGAAAGATAAAACAGAAACAGAATTTCAACAGCAGAAGAATAAATCTGGAACAACACTTTGAAAGCAAAATGTGCACACAAAAACTAAGTTTCATATATAACTGAGCAAAATGAGACACTAAAGGACTCCTGCTAAAGTAAAAATACTCAGCAGACTAAAATACTGTAATTGTTCTGGTACTTCTCTCAATCTGTAAAGCCAAAAAAAATCTAAAATCAGGTAAAACATCTTTTTAACAGTACAACAGAGGGAAAAAAAAAGGAGTATATGTAGTCAGAGGGAGACTGTTTCATCATCCCACCTCCTGAATGTAGTCAGCCACAAGATCCAAGGTGGCAGTCTCTCAGGGCTTCACACAAGAATGATGAAGGGTAAAACTGGGAGAGAATGGTAAAACCACCCCTGCCACCATTGTTTCAGTGTTCCCCTGCTCCCCCCAAAGACATAAAAATACAAAACATACATCGCTGGGCAAAATTTCATGAGATAAAGAGCAATGAGAAAAATCTTACCTGCAACATAGTCACCAAATCCAATGGTAGTTAAAGTGATAACCACAAAGTAAATTGCATCTAGTGTGCTCCAGCCTTCTATATGCTTGAATATAACTGCAGGAAGAGCAACAAACAGCACGCAGCCAAACAGTATGAATATTATTGTTGAAATTATGCGAATCTTTGTCTGACTCACATTCCATTTCTATGAAAGAAAGGGAAAGGGAAAGAGAGGAGAGAATTAATAATTGTTAATAAAACTGTGCCACTATATATAAACACCTATCACCTACAATAAGCACCTCATTGCTCAAGAGGACATTCTAGTTCTCAAACAGAAAAATCAAAGCATTGTTTTATTGTGAAAGTGTTTTCAAAGCAAATATGACTATCCTAGGAAACATTTGGTGGCAGGAAATGCAAAGTAGTGCTGGACTCTTCTTTGTGGTCGGGTGGGTGGATGGCTTGTGCAACGTTCATTAATATTAACAGCTGATCATGATACAGTTTGAGTGAGGACAAAATTTGAGTAAGCTTCAAGTCGTGCTCGCACCTGGTATCTCTCTGCTTTTTTTGCATCCACAAATAACTAAATAAAAATGGTGTATTTTTATCATATATTTCTCTCTTTAATGAAAGAGATAACTAAGCAAAACCATAGAAAACAGAGTTGAGATAGAAATAGAGGGGACATTAAGAGATCTTCTCTTCCAAACCTTACTCAAAACTAAAAATGACCACACCTAAGCCATGGCATACAAGACATGTGAGGCAATGCAATCAAGGTTAACTTATTTTCAGTAGAAAGTTTCCTCAATGCTTACCCTGCATCTCACTTGCTTCTGTTTAAGTCTACTACTTATGGTCTCATCCAGGGCAGACCAACTGCTACTTCACTCTTTCCAGCAAGCTTTTACAGGTGTCTTCTGTCATATATTCTTTAGTCCAAAAAAAAAAAAATGCACTTATTCAAGTCTAACCTCACCCACTCAACTCTCGTTGCTATCCCTCACCTCCATCCAGCCAATACACACATTTCTTTAGATGTGGTTCTCAAAACTGGACAAAAAGTGAGACATACTACAGCAAAACAGAACATAAGAAAGGATCCTTTCATCCAATCTATTTATACTCCTATTTAAGCCTTTAACTGTGACCTACACTTTCTCACAACAGTACAACACTCTCCAGTACTAGCTGAAGAGCCCCTAGAGGCCTCAGAACATCACTACAAAACTGCACCCAGACAACTGTTTACTGACATGTAATTGAATATTTCATTATTCTTTCATGTCTTTTGAATTTGTCATTTTTGAACTGAATCTTATATATTCATGCTGCCTTTCAAAATCTTCAAGATCACTTTGAATTCTAATTCTGTCCTCCAACTTTTAGCTCTCTGCAGCCTGAGATCATCTGTAGATTTAATGAGAAAAGTGTTTTTGTCTGTTGTGTAAACTATTAATGATTTTTATTTTTATTTTCTAATCATAACAAATCTAAAACAGACCATTGCAAAGTCACGTCTGACATGCCCTACCAATTTGACAATTTTCCTCTCAGTACAGTTTTCCAGAGTCTTCCATGCATCCAGGGCATATTGCTTTAAATTAAGGGAAACTAGGGGCTACATAAAACTGTAACCTTTAAAAAAAGCAGACCAAAAAGAGACCAGATTATTCACAATGCATGGTTTCTTGTATTTATGTTAAGTGCCAATGGAAGATATGTTTTCAATCAGCAGGACCAAAGTCTAGCTTTTGCAACCCAAATCCCAGTAGCTGGTCAGGTTATGGCAACATGAAATGCCCTGTTCTGACCCATCAGTGTCTCCTTGTTCTTCTTTTAAAGAATGAATGAAGGAGTGTTCCAGACTGCAACATAAAGATCAGTGTTTTAATTCAGAGATTGCCAAAAGGAGGCAAGTTGCTTCTTTTTGTGTTAGGGCATCTTTGTTGTGTATATACCCTATTAAACAAAGAAAAGGGGAAGAAAGAGGGAAACCCATTATTCCTCTAAGTGATAGCCTAAGAGACACAAACAAGTTGGTCTCATATTTTGTACCTTTATGCAAAAGCTAAAATTCAATTACAGCAGAAAAACAGAAAGGATAAAAATGTGTTCTCATGGAATGTTCATGCCCTTTTTAGCCAAGTCTCAGTGGAAATTAAATGTTATTTATCAGTAACTAATTAGGATTGGATCTGATATCTGGAACTGAAAAAAAAGAAAGAGAAAACAACACACGCATATAAAAACAGCTATGCTTTTTCCTAACATTGGCTTTCAAGCCTGTGTTTACGTATTGCATATGTAAACATATACATGTATATCAGCATGTCTGTATGATATATTTATGTATGTATTATATATATGTAAACTAATATATCAGCACAGCCAGTTTGCCTTTCACCAAGAAAAAAAAATCAGTCCTTTTAACACTTGTTGGTTTGATGCAAACAGCTACGAAGTTATGGTACTTACTACATGTTCACCGTATATGATACATTCTACACATCAAATGACATAGTATTTCATCGATGTTTTGAACATAGTATAGTAATAGCTACACCTATAGCATTTCATTAAAGGTTAATAAAATACTTAACTCATTTTCTTATATTTCATTGTGTCATTTATTCTAGGCATCAAAAATATCAGTAAAAATATTTTTAATTACTGTAGTAAGAAAGTATGATATTGCTAAAATTTTCTGATTCTGAACTCAAAGTATCATGTGTAAAGCAGACTTTAAGATAAGCAATAATTTCATCTGCTATAATTTAAGGCATTTGGTTGTTAAGGACAGGCTATGGCTTAACTTTATCAATATCTGCACAAGCTTATGTAGTCTCTTGTTGGGTTCCTTCCTCCACTTAAGCTGTGCCATGCTGTGTGGACTAATTAAAGATCCGTGGATCAAACAAAATGAAGGACATGAATCTTAATAGGCTACATGGTTCAGCAGAAGCTGAAAATACCTTAAAACTGTAGAACAACCTGCAGCTCAGTGAGGAGACCAAAGCCTCCTCAAACAGGAGTCCAGTGTTGGGAAGCAGGTTCTGTATCATTTTGTCTGTCCTGATCCCTTGAATGCCCAAAGTATTAGTCACCTATAGCCCCATAAATCTGGAAACATAGGTGTCTGCAGGCTGTTGACGCTTCCTCAGGTTTGCTGATGTCTGTGTACAGATTTTTAAGGACTGTGATTTTAGACTGACACCAAAGATCGTCTGTGAATCAACCCAGAGCAGCAATAACTTCCATGCATTACCCCTACAGTTCCACTCCTCTATCTCAACATGCCAGTGATTTCCTATCACAGTCTATAATATAGTCTTTAAAGGTAAACACCACAGTAAGCTTAAGAGTACTTTAAGGGCAAAACAAACAAACAAAAAAGTTTTGGATCTTGCTCTTTATTCATCATTATTGTAGAAAATGTTGGACTGCATCCAATTCTCAATTAATGTTCAACATGTACAGACTCTACAATGTTCTCTGTACCTTTTGCTAGACATTGGGTTACAAGGATGAGCTATACCCCGTGTGTTACACTTGTTGAATTTAGAACAGCAAGCAGCCATCATACTCACAACGAAGGTATCTTCTACTTTGGCAATTCCTTTTCCAAAGATTGTCCCTAGTTGATCTCCAACACCAGCCAAGAGAAAACCAAAGAGAGGAATTCCCAGTAAGGCATAGATGATACAGAATATCTTTCCACCTTGTGTGCGTGGGGAGATGTTTCCAAAGCCTAAATTACAAACAACTTGAGATGCTTAAAAAGAAATTACATATATTACACTACACATTTTAAAGGACGGTAGGAACAGAACAGTTGCAAACAGGTCCTACTAGGTTAACCATATGATACAGTAAACATTGTGAAAAATCGAATAAAAATGTGTTGTACAATCCTCTGAATTAATTAAAGTGTTGTGCTTTTTTTAATATTGTGTACATAATATGGAGAAGAAAAAATTCATTATAGAAATAAATCTTATATTTTTATATATACACATATACACTTATAAATTATAACTTTTCCACATTTAATATGTGTAGTTAATACAAATTGGTTAAGTTATGTTTTAGCCTCTGTTTTATGGAAACATCTATTATTGGACTTGTAATTTGCAGGCTGCATTACTCTAAAACAAGATACAATTTTTGGGTGCACTGTGCTTCAAAGAAAAGCAGCCTGAAAGAAACCATTTGGATGATCAAAATAGGAATCTCTAAATTAAATGGAAGTGCTTACACTCATTAAAGGCTCAGGTTCTTTCACTGTTGCAAACAGAGCTTTGAGAGACAGTTTACAGCTCAGGACTCTTCTCCATTTGAAAAGTGAAATAATTTCCACCAACCTGTGAAAAAACACACCCTTGATATGCCCATGATACCTCCATTGCTGGTGTTCTACTTTAAATAGAAATCCCAAAATATGAAGACCTTAGACACCACTGTCTTTGAAATGCCCTCAAATATATCATTTAAACATCAGTCCTGGAGATAAGTCCAAGGTCACACTGTTTCATGAGCATCAGTCCTCATTTTAATTCTTTTTTTCTTCTCTGAAGTCTTGGGGGAGTAGCAGGGCAGTAATAATAACACATCAGTATTTTTGAAATTATTTCACTTTTCAGCACAACAATGTGTAGTTTGAAGGAGGCCAGAGGTAGAACTTAGCAAAAAAAAAAAAAAAAGGATTATTTTCCATGGAGAAAATAAGCAAAAGCTTTTAAAAGAAATTACCATTTTTGTAGAAAAGATATCTTGTGAATAAAAAGCAAAATATTTTAGCAAGTAATCGAGACATTTGTTTCTCAGAGTTTATCTTTAATATTAAAATTGTGCATAAAAGATACTTTTCATATAAACACATAAAACTCAATGAAGATCCCATTTTCCTTTGAAAAAGCTGACAAATTTTATCAGCTCTATTGAGAAAATGCTTATTTTTTTTTGAAATAGCTTAGTATTCATGTACACCAACCACAAGCTTCCACAAAGCAAAGCACTTTTAATGAATATCTCACCTATAAGTGCTGTGGTTTTTTTTGTTTGTTTTTAAACTATTTTGAGCATATTGGTTTAATATGTATTTTCTTCATGAAACCTGTTTATATTACCTAAATTTTTCGTTCTGCTGTTATGTAGGTAAGCTAAACCAAAACTTTTTTCTTTCAGTACACGGGAGACCTACCCCTCAGTCAACTAAAGAAAAAAACATATTTGGAATATATTTTACTCTTAGATATTTTGCTGTAATATCTGTTTAGAAATATTAATCACAAGAACAACAAATGCAACAATACAATAGAGTTTAGTTACATTACAAATTAAAAAAGTGAGGAAAATTATGTTGATATTAAAATTTTCCCAAAATGATAACTAATACAGTCTCTTAAATACAGTCAGTTAAATACAAGGGACAAAATTACAGGAAACATCATCAATTGCAAGTCATGGAGTCTTCCACCTTTGTAAATCTTCCCTGCAGTAATATAACGCACAAAAAGAGCCTGACTCAGTCAAGTGGAATAAAGTCAGAGCGCCTTTAGTCTAACCTAGCGTTCCTCCCTAACCTGGAGCCAGAGGTAAAATTACTGATTATTATAATTCAGGAAATTTCAGCTCCACTGAGTTCACTCTGTGCGTTCATACACCAAGCAGGAAAGACTCTTGAGTTTTAAAATAAAATTAGCTCATCACCAACCAAAAAGAGACAAACAGATCCAAGCTAGTCTGTTTTCATAAATATCTCTGTTTATGCAGCAACAGGAGCTTGAATAGCTGCCAGGGTGTAATTCCTGCAGAGTCTTAATGCAATTCAGAACCTGAGTCTGGATACACCAGATTTATAAAATTCATATTGGGGAATTTGGAAATAGCTCTCCCTTTTCTTGGTTTAAGAACTGTATTCGCTAGCTCCACAAAAATGATAGCATAATAGTGACAAAATACCAGCCCAGTGAAGCACAAGCCAAGGAGGCAATTTTACTTACTTTACTTCATAAAGCAAACTGGCAGTTTCCTTGCATCCCACAGCTATTACAGAGATGATTGCTGCTGTGGCATATTTCTCATCTGCTACTAATCGGTACGAGAACAAGAAGTTCACGTTCAGCTCTATGCATTCTTGCTCTAAATCACAGGCATATTTTGCTTCAGAAAAGGATGGGGACTTTTTTTTCTACCCTGAAACTGTTGCTTTTCATCAAAAAGCAAATTGTTGCAAGGATTTGCTTTTTGATAAAAGTGGCAAATGCTTTTCTTCCATAAATGACAAAGAAGGTCTAGTGTTATTAGTTATACTTAAAAAAAAAAAACTCACGAACACTGCTGGAAAAAAATAACACTCCAGCAGGCAGTACAGTTTATCTCCGGCCAGATGCTCACCGCACACAGTACAAGCCATGGCACTATCATGACAGGACATGTGCTTCAGTGAACTGATCCGCCAAGGGGTTTCCATCACACATTAATCATATTTCCTGGAGTGTCATGTTTCATAACAGTCTGCTGCCACACACACCGCAGCCTACTTCACGAGTTACACAAATTGTCCTTACATCCTACTCTCTTGGTTTCTTCAGCAAAAAGCTAATCCATCATTTATGTAATGGGAGAGGAAACATTTATATTTCATATGGTTGTTGTAATTCCTGAGGGCTTTGTCTCAGAAAAAAAAAGTTTAAAAAGTATTATTAATTTCTTAGGAAAATCAGCAGAATGCTGCTGTTGAGTAAAACCAAAGGAAATCTTCACTTCAGGCACTGGGCCACAGAACTGCCACTGTGTACCTTGCACCTCCCCTCCCCACACAGGGCAGGAGCAGCACAGAACAAAGTTTCACCCAAGGTAATGTCAGTACCATTTGCAAGCGGCCCTTCCCAATGCCCACCCCTCACTTCCCTTCCATAACCAGGAGCACAATTTGCCTCCTAGTTTCACCAAATCCCTTTCATGTCTTGCTAAATGCCTAACATGCCTTTAACACCCAAGGGATTTTGTGCATTTAGAATATGCTGTCTCTGACAAGCAGCTGTGGACAAGAAATGCATTTTAAAAAGAGCTTGCCGAATGCTTACGTGAATAAAGAATAAAAGTCCATTGTAAATACATTGCAACTACTTGCTCCATTTGCCAAAATAACATATTCTATGGTTTCAGCTCCACAACTCTTACGGCCCCCAAGATTCAAGTGGCAAATTGCTTTTGGGAACCTCAGGAGAGACTTCATGGGATATATGTATTTTTTTCCCCCTCATGTCCTCTCTTTTTTAATACACTTCTTCAAGAAAGAAGATGTCTAACTTTTCTATCTGGTATAGATGGACTATTGAGTAGAAATTAGTAACTTTGTGCTAACTTCAAGGGCATTATTGGTTTTGAGCAAAACAGAAAGTGTTTGAAGATTTTTTCCTGTGAGAGACAATAGTTTATATTTCATACAATCAATAAGAGGCACTTTTGTTCAGGTCTAGAAATCAGACTGTCTTTGCATTTTAGCCTTCATAAAAAGTTAGACTGGTAATTGGTTTAAAAAAAAAAATCTAAGTTCCTTTTCAAAAAGAGAAAAGATCCTTTTGCTTTGTGGTTCACTGGGATCTCACTCTTTCAGAAAGCTCTTTTAGATCCCCATTTTCAAAGCAGAGATAGAAGAATAGAGACTCCAAATTAATATATTTTAATGGAGAATTCCTGGGCAAAGAAGGGCATCTACTGGAAGTAGTTAGCTACAATTAAGCATTTCTTATGTGAGCGATTACAGGTGCTTTGGGGAGTTCTAGGACTACATTTCACTTGCAAAATTGACTGGAAAAATGTCACCACTTATGTTTCATTAGTATCAAATAGCTCAAGTGGGATTGAAAGGTCTGGGAAAGGTTTTAAACGTTTTCTTTCCTAACAAGAAAATGTATATTCAAAAGCAAGTAAATGTTTTCCCATTGTTTTTGACATATCTGAGATTACACAAGACATTGTTCACCAGGTAGCGAACAGTGAGAATGATACAGAAATAATGTCACATATTTTGAGATATGAGAAACTGCTCTCAGCTGTAAGCTCAGCTACGTGGGCAATTCATCCAACAGGTTAATATTGAAAGATAAAGTCTATGGTGAACATGCACATCCTTAATTACATGAATACGGATTACAGAAACCTGGTACTGCAAAGACTGCACAGACTGAGAAGATGCTGAACTCCTTGCTGCTGAACAATGAGGTCAGATCCAGACAACCTGGCTGCCATGCCCTCAGCTCAAGCTGCCTGGTGGCTGTGCCTGGCACTCATGCAACAGGCAGTGATATTGCCATAGGTTTGCATCCAGCTGGACTACGCAGCTTGATTACAGTGATTACCCTTTTCAAAAGGTGAATGTGTGTTTTGATACTGAATGTCATATTGATTTTAAGAGATCAAAAGACGCTTTTTCCAGGCCCTAAGGAGCTATCTGATAAAATCTTTATGAAAGGTACCTCACTGAACTTATAGTAGCTAAGACATGTTTATTTATTTTCCCCCATTTGGAGTGCCATTCAGGCTCCAGAGATTAGCATCTAAACATATGCCAGTGTCAGTGCCAAGACAAAGATATGCACTTATTCATAGATAGGTATCTCTTTTAGTAGAAATAATGGTCATATGTGAGTATAATCAAACAAGAAGGTATTGTGTGTACCCACACTGTCTCTGTGGAAATCTCTGCATATACCATAAAAAATTTCAAACTGCACCTTCTTG